ATGGGAGAATGGAATGCTTTCACACAATGCACCCTGTATTTATAAGCATTTCACTGCAACTGTGTAACAACCACAACACCAACACCTTCTTACTATTAACATGCGGTCAACAGTGGCGGATCTTGACCATTGATCTTGGAGGGACTAAATAATATATTATTAATAAATAATAAATAAATATAAAAGGAAGTAAGAAGATGAAAGAGTGAAAGGATAAAATTGTAAATATATACTTAAATATATTAAATGATCATTAAGTTTGAGGGGGATAAAATCATAAATTATATGAGAGTTACAAAATTGAGGAGGGGCTGAGAGGATAAAATTGTAAATATAAAAGTAAATATATTAAATGTTCATTAAATTTGGGGGGAGACAAAATCATAAATTACATGGGAGTTACAAAACTTTGGGAGGGTCACGACCCCCTTAGCTTTCAAGAAAAGATCCGCCACTGGCGGTCAAGCCTTGTTACTCCGTTATCCGTGAAGGTTGAAGGAAATCCACCAGAGGTGTGCAGTGAGCCTGAACTGCTTTGGTCACTGTTTACCGGTAGGAACTAATTTTCCAATGCCTCTTTACTTCGTCTGAACATTGCAGACTACTAATTGCATTGTGGGTTTACATGCAATGTTTTTATTTCTTGTACGTGTGCGCAATTCTTCTCCATTTCAATGATTTCCGTGTTGTTGACCTTGACAAACATGCATATCACTCATATCATGTAATAATTTAGTGGACAAATGAGACATTTTGCCTCTCAATCCTCACCTCCTCGTCATCCCAAATCTATGCAAATTAACATATGCAAACGAGAATGCATCAACTCATATTTATCCTCTCAATTCTTCTTCTACAGTATACCTGTATAAGCAAACAGTTAAACTCTTCATTTGTTACATGGAGAAATTTTTTAATCATTATTTATGCTTTTAATTATTAATTTTTTTTCTAAATAAAACATATTAAGTAATATTTAATAATATTTTATTATAATTTGGTCCTTAAAAAAGAGTAAGTTTAATTATCACACACGCTCTCGATGGAAAGATGAGAAGCGCAAAAATGTGTTGATTTCATGTATTTCTAGATATAAAATTATAAAAATCGAGAAAAATATTATTCTTCTTTCATATATGAAGAAAATCGAATAAAGTATACTTTTTAATCATAATCGGGCTTATCCAATTATGCAAATAAATATTATATATATTTACTTATATTAATTAATTATGGATAACTCATAATTAATTATTGTTGAAAAAATTTTATTTAATATTTTTTATATTATTATTATAATAATAAATATTTAAAAAATTATATTCAAATATATATTAAAAGAATAAATAAATTGATTAATAATAAATAAATTTATCCACTTCTCACTCATTTCTACTATTTTTTTCCTTAATCCAAACCATTCCACTTTTTACTCTTCCTCACACCTTTTTTATTCCTTCAAATCCATTCTCTCATTCAAACAAAGTGTACAAAATAAATCATTCATTATCCGCATTGTATTTTAAATAATTATTTTCAAACTAACCCACTAGTCATATATGATAATTTGTTATTAAACCAGTATATTTTAATAACAAAATTACTTATAAAATAAAGGAATAAAATAGTCTCTTTCTAACTTATCTCATTTTTAGTATGTCAAACATGAAATTGAACGATGAGTGACTTATCATAGTCAAAATAGGCTAAAGATCTTTTTTTTTTTTTTACTAAAGGTGATCAGCCGCCAATTTTTTCTTATATAATATTTTTATATGTATTTATTTAAAAATATATTTTTAATTATATAAATAATTTTTAAATTTTTATTTATTTATTAATTAATATTTTTATTAGATAAATTAAAAAATATTATATTTATATGTTAAAATAACTAATTATAATCAATAAATTAGATTTAATTAATTAATTTTATAATTTAAATTATGATATTATAATATATTTATATATTTCAATAACATAAAAAAAAATAATATTTTTAATTATAATATTTTTTATTTTTATTTTCACCAAATTCGATGGGTTAGATGAGATGAATTAAAATAAATTGATTATTATAATTACTAACTCATTCATTGTTATTTAGAAAACTAGTACATCCGACAATCTAATTTATTTTGTCACATGGTTAGTTTAAAATATGTTAGATTAATGATTTATTTTGTATCCATTTGAATAAAAATCTATAAATAATTAATTTCATACTAATTAAGAAAATAAATTAATATAATTTATATTACTTCCATTTAAAAAAAAAAGAAACACAATCCCGTCCCTGACTATAGTCAGTTTTAAAAAATATTTGATTCTTTTTATGATTTTTTTCTATAATGGTTTAGGGCATTGATTATCTATTTGAAAATATCCTTAATTAGTTAACAAAAATATAACTAAAATAATAAGTGTTAAAAATTGTTGTGATAAAGTACGTCTCTTCCCTATTAGGGTTTGAGAAGATTTTCTTTTGAAATTATTAACCATTACTTTTTCTCAAAATATTATTATTTAGGTGAAAAGCAGTTGAGTGAAAATAAATAATAATTAATATAAAAATATATTATTAAAGTGTTATTTTGGAAGAATTGTAAGTTTATACCAAATTTAATGTTAATAATAAAAATAATTTATTTTGTTATAAAGTTTAGAATTACCCTCTCCTTGTACACAATAAAATTGCCAAATTATTTACTCCGTGAAATTTATTGTGTATTTTAAGTAACAACAATGTGAAAATATTTTCGAGATAAAGACTTCTAAAAGTTATTATTTTTCAATTTGATTGATTGCCAACACAACACATAATTGAATAAATTTGGGGTCAATTAACTCGTCGAATGTTAGATACAGTGTAGGAGGATATTTGGTCTCTGATTTTGAAATTGTGAGGCCTAACTAATGGGAATTGATCCATCAGAGAAAAGAAAAAGTCAATCTCCAAACACGAAACGCGGAGTGTTATTAACTTCAGCTCGGCTATTCTCGAGGGGCCGCAGAAGAAATTTTAGATGAGAAACTAATATATATACATAAAATATTATATATAATTAATTAAATTTAAATTTTACAAAAAAAGTTAATTTCATCTATTTTATTTTTAAAAATGACTTTATATTTTTTTACGTATATTTGAATTTTTATTTTTACATATTTTAATATTAAAATAAAATAAAATATTAAAATAATTAACTAATTTATAATAAATAAATAAAATCTATATCAATATTTTATATTTTTATATTATATTTACTTATATTATTTTGTTATAAATATAAACAAAAATAATAAAGAAATAAATTTATTTATTATTTTAAATAAATTATTACGAGGTATTTTTTATTTTTATTTTTTTATATCATCTTGAACTGAAGATAAAAAAAAAAAAAACTTATAAAAAGGAAAAAAATTGAAAGCTAAAAAATAAACTTCTAATATGAAACCTGAAAGAGAATAATATAAAAATAAAAGATAAAATTATAATAAATAAAACGAGTGTTTAATAGAAAAAATTTAAAGTGAAAAATAAAATTAACAAATGAAAAATAAAATTTTGAAGATAAAAAAACATAAATAAAATTATCTAAAAAGATAAATATATATATATATATATATATATATATATATATATATATATATATATATATATATCATGTCATATATATATATTCTAGGATGATAATCCCAAAAAGCCTGAATTATATAAAGTTGGCATGGATATGAAACCAAAGTATGTGCTTGTTTTTCTTGGGCAGCTTTCACCAGAAACTTCCTCCTACAGGTAATGTTCACATGCAGCTAGGATTATTTCAACTTGGATCTTACTTTATCACTTGGCCAAGGCGATAAGAATATGTAAATTTGATACAAATCATCACTCTCTTCCTGTATTTCTACAGTTTTTATTTTTATTTTTTTTATCTTCATAATTCAATTAAATCATATTTTATCTTTATCTTTATATTTATCTTATAAGTGTCTACTTGAAATCTGCTTTTTCATTTCAACACGGTCAAATATTGAATACATGTTTAACATTAATAAGATGAGTATTATTACTCGTAATTTAGTAATTATTAATATGTTACGCTGTTATCCAATCTTGTTATGAACAATAATTCGGATATTTTTATCAATATCAATTCTAACATTCTCTTTAATAAAAGTTCGGACTTTTTTTTCTTTAATAACTTAAACCATTTTGTCCACCATAATTCACATATGGTCATAGACTACTCCTTCATAAACTCTCTTCTTTGTGTTCTGCAACTCAAGCATCACACATTCGCAAACATTCTCCTTCATTATTAACAATCTGAGCATGACACATTCATAAACTTTTTTCATAACGTATTTTTAGAAAAATCAATATAAAAATGTATTTTAGATTTTGGAAAGTGTTTTCGAAAAACATAATTCAGAAATGCATTTTGAATTGAATGTTGTAGAATGTATTTCTAGGTATGGTGTTCTGAAATAGATCTCCAAATTAGATTTTCTGAAAATATATCCTAGAATACCCAATCTAAAATATATTTTTAAATTGACTTTTTTAAAATTAAACATAATTTTTATAACACTGTTTTAGACTCAGTAATTTGGATATATTTGTATAATTTAAATCTGTTTATATAATTTGAATATAATAATATATAATTCATATATAATATTAACTTATTTTTAATTGTTAGAAAATGTATTAAATAGCCAAAAAGATGGAGGGTGAAAAATTATACACAAATAAAAAAAAAGAATTTAGAATAAAAAAATTATAAAAGTAATATTTTAGATATTTTAACGATGTGATCTTAGGAAGCAAAGAGCCGTTATTTTTTTCCTTTCTTGTCCATAAATAGTTTGAAATATGGGCCAATTGTTTGAGGCCAGCTTTTGATGTTCAAAACGAAAGCCCAGTAATATCACACCCGATCTGTTCCTGTCCATCTATCTTGAATTTCCATCCAGCCAGGCTAAGCTTCACTGCCATGCCGGCAACGCCATTATCGTGTTCGTTCCTCACCTTGCAACCTCGCTTCAATTCATACGTTAAACCTATTTTCCGTTCACTCAGCTTTCAACTCCCTTCTTCCACGCTCCCATTCAATGCCAACTTTTCCAGTATCAGACTCCGCTCTTCGCTCTCGCGAGCTGCGGAGACCGATTCTCCGACCGGTGGAAGGTCCGGCGCGTTAACTCCCGGTCCCACCGTCACAGGAGATGTTCAGAAAATCGACGTGAATCCTCCCAAGGGGACGCGCGACTTCCCACCCGAGGACATGCGCTTGCGCAATTGGCTCTTCAACCATTTCAAAGAGGTGTGTGTGGTTTTGGACTCGAATTGCTCATTTCCGTTTCGTGCGTATGCCTGCATTGCTTCAGCTCCATTGTTGTTTTTGTTTTGTTTTGTTTTGTTTTTTTTCAATTTGGTCTCACTGTTTCTTCTCACCGCGAGGGTCAGGTTTCGCGGTTGTATGGATTCGAAGAGGTTGATTATCCGGTGCTTGAGTCGGAGGCATTGTTCACTAGGAAAGCGGGAGAAGAGATCAAGGACCAGGTATCTCTCTCGCTTTATCGTTTTTGTTTATATTTATTTTGACTGACAGAGTGAGCATCTATGAAGTCTGAATACTTAGTACAACAACACACATGCATGCGGGTACAACACATTTTTATTTTTATTTTTTACAGTTACAATTCCAATTCTTTCTTATTTATTTATGACTATGATAATAACAATATTCCAGAAGATATTTGTGATCATAACACAAAAAAATTGTTTCTGTGAATATTATAACCGTCTTGTACCATTCACAATCACCTAAATTCCTTGTGTAATTCTCCTTCACTCCGTTGCTGTCCTGCATAAAAGACATAGCTTTTGGTTCATCAAGAGAGAATTTTTCCAATTAAAGAAGCTCAATATCATCAAGAGACCTTTAGTGTGGATATACATTGTCTCCCTTTTTTTAATCAGTAACACTTCTAATCTTTTTTTTAGGCATACTTATCAAGAGATCTTTAGTGTAGATATACATTGTGTCTCCTTTTTTTAATCAATAACACTTGTAATCTTTTTTTTAGGCAAAAATTTATGGTAATACAGTGAAACCAATTATTCGGTGTTTATTGTTTTTTGAATCTTTATTGTTTTTTGAGAGAATAAATGAATGGGTACGTACTTCAATTTCTCCTAAATCAATTTCTCCTAGATCATGAAGAATAATGAAGAAGAATATGACTGCTTAATAAACTTTAGGTCAGCCATTATTCAAAAGTATTAAGTCATAGACTTGTTCATATATATATCTTACCATTAAAATCTCAATATATATATATATATATATATATATATATATATATATATATATGTGTGTGTGTGTGTGTGTGTGTGTGTGTGTGAAAAAAAAAGCTCTAAAACTATTGATTGCCTATTTTTTAGTTTGACTGTGACATAAATGTATTGAATTTTTCAATGTCAGTGGATACTGGATCATACTTATACTCCATTTTGTTGGTTTAATGTTGTAAGTGTTGAACACTAGTTATGTAATTTGTGCCCTCTAGTAACGTGGTGAGTTATAGTGATAATATCAATGAGCTGCTTGATTTAGTATTAGTACAATGCATTAGTGTTTACTATAAATTCTGTGTTTCTTTGTTTAGCCCTAGTGATGATATCAATGAGCTACTTGATCTAGTAGTAGTACAATGCATTAGTGTTTAAGATGGTATCATGTCATTCTTTGTTTATTGTCATGAGTCTCATATAGCCATGTTTCCTCCTTACTAGTCTTGTAGATATGCATTAAAATTGCAAATACTTGTTATTAGCGTTGAGTTAACCATTATTAACATAGACTTAACCACTTATTATTCATAAAATCGCATTGGGAAATTCAGTAATGTTTTGATTAAAGGCATTTTGGTTTGTGTTGAATCAAGTTAAACTTTGAGCCAGGATCTGCATCATCCATATCATACAAGTTGAAGCTATTTTGAATAGCTTCCATTTCTCACATCCAAAATATGATCTTGGTGTTTCCTTGTTTGAGTCTTTCCTATTATTCTGTAGACTACATATAGACAATAATAAGCCAATATACTATGTACAGTGAGTCGACACGATGGAGCTTTACGGTATTTAGAGGCTGTGATTTAAATTTTTCTGATAGCGCAACATAATTAGATATGTAAGACCAAGACATGTATGCATGATTGAGTGTGTGAGACAGCAAAAATTTTCATGCTGTGCCAGTAATTAAGTAGCTATTGTGTCACACAAACAACATGCCTGTGGTGTGGTTAAAAAAATTAGTATTTTTATAAAATATCTTTTAATGAAAATTATTTTTTTTATTAAAAGAGCAGATAATGCAAATACATTCAGGAATTTTGACAAGATATTAAAAATATACATTTGCATTCGCAGCTTTATTGTTTTGAAGATCGCGGCAATCGACGTGTTGCGTTGAGGCCTGAACTTACTCCTTCTTTGGCAAGGCTGGTGATACAGAAAGGGTAAAATTTATTCTTATGTCTATTTTAGGTTTTCATATATTTGCAGTTTTGATGTTAGTCTACGCCAAAAAAGTTAAACTTTAGTATTCATAACTTGAATATAGTGTATGTGAATGCCAAATCCTCATTTTCACGTTTGTTCTTTAATTTCTAGGAAGTCAGTGTCACTACCAATTAAGTGGTTCACTGTTGGACAATGTTGGCGGTATGAGAGAATGACAAGGGGTCGCCGTCGTGAGCATTACCAGTGGAACATGGATATTATTGGTGTTCCTGGGGTTATGGTATGTGCTGCCTGATATACATACTTTTTGAAGTTATGGATTACTGTTTCATGATTGATCCAGATAGCTAAGCATTAAGGTGTCATCAGTTAGTAGTTGTTCCATTACGATTATGTTTGTGTAGCATTTAGGCTATTATGTTAGAATATCCTTTGATTAGTGATTGATTACTCTCTTTTCATTCATTCTCCCTTCTATTATAACAATACAGAAACCTGTTAAGGAATTAGATGTGTTTCTTTATTAATATTTTGTCTTTGACATGCTTTTTGGTAAATTTTTATGGATGGATTGCATTATGTACCTTGTTTTAAAATTTTGAATGCATTGGACTATAATCTATTACATGTATTTTCTTACTGTGCTTTTTATGTTGTAGGCTGAAGCAGAGCTTATATCTTCTATTGTCACTTTGTTTAAGCGAATAGGAATTACAGAATCAGATGTTGGATTTAAGGTTTCCAGTCGAAAGGTGGAGATTTCATTTTCATTGTATGTGTGAGATAGTATATTTAACATATACTGAATATTTAAATAGCTGTTACTAGAAATTAGGGATGCAATTATCACAATTTTGGTGATTTGATTTATTCTTATGTATTTGAGTGATTCTGTTGTACTCTAGTACGTGATTATATATAAGACTCATGTAAACATACAATACATAACATTCCAATATATTTCTTCTTCTATATGGTATCAATAGTTTAGGGTAATTTTTTTTCCTAGAGCTCTTTGCCATAACAAGCCTCTTTTTCTCAATTGAACAATACCTGAGCCATTTTTCCCTTGCCACTGTGTCTCTTTTCTTTTGTGTGCTACAGCTGCCTGAACAGCTTCTGGTGATGTCAATGCCAAAAGCTTGCAGCCAACTGGCAACTGCTAACACATGTGCTCCCAAGTGCAACTTCTCTTTCGTGAGTGAGTCTTACCCATTGTCATTAGATCAGTGTAAGCCAGTTTTCTGGTGGTCCTTCCATTGCCTTTTCCTTAATATGGCCACCCTTCTCCAGCCTTTCTTTGGCTTCATATCTTACGGTCTGCAACTGTTCCCCTTTGGTTCCAGTGTAGCAATGACTTTTAGTGATGTCTCATTGATCCTATGTGAACAATTTACGAGGACAGCCAACTCCAAAACCTAGTAACTGCTGTCCGGTTGTGGTTTCATGGTAAAGGCCATGGTGGTCACCATTATGTTCTTACTGTTTTTTTGTGATCGCTATGGCCATATTAAAGTTGAATGCTTCACCAAGCCACCAAGGCTCGACAACAATCAATGTTTGATAATGTTGCTCAAGTCATTGCCCTTTTCAGCATTGAGGATGTTACTACATTTATTGTTGATCACGATGATTTTCTCCATTTCAAGGTTGCCTATCAACCCACCTACCCTATTGACCCACCTAACCTATCCTTGTTACTTAGTCTAGTAATCTTTTAGCATTTGTTTCTAAGTTGTTCTCTCTTGGACCTAGGATACTTGACTTTGGTGCTTTTGATCCTATAATTGGTAACAGATCTCTTTTGTCTTGTCTGTCTTATTTGTATTATTCTTTGCCTTTTGATACCTTAGTAGATGACTCTCAAATAAAAGTTCAAGGCTGTTGGAAATATTTTGTAAAATAAAAATATAGGAATAGTGGAACTTGCAGTCAAAATAGAGAGATTAAAAAACTAATCATTCAAAATCATAAATGAGAATACCTATGTTCAGGCTTTTGACCAATTTAAAATTCCTAAAATATCTAACCTACCATTAACTTCTCTTGAAATTTAAACTAAGTAAAACAAATTGTAAAAGATAAAATATTCAACAATAATAAAATCATCAACTAAAACTTTTTAATCATATTCAGAATTCAAATAAAGGAAAATTTTATAATTCTAACACCTTGAGATTTGCCATGGGAATTTGGAGTTTTAACTCCATGAACAACAACCTTCACATCAGAAGTGCTTTATTAGTATGTTGCTCATCAATTTTTTTGGCTTGAATCATTGTCACTATATCATAATGATTTTATTTAACTCATCTTGTCTTTTAAACACCATATGCCAAGATTTGTCACCTCAATTTCATCTTTTATGAACTTATATGATTTCAGGTTGAGGCTACCCAATGTTTCCTAAACATCACTCATCAATTTTGACAATAGAATCAAAATCTTAAATTAAATCAAACTTCAAATACAAACTGTTTCCAATCTTTTCAATATTTGCAATCTTAACTACATGATCATCAATAGTAAAACAATAATTTTCTTTGGAAGAAACTTCAAATCCACTTCTTAACAATTGTGCAACAGTATGAAAATTTTGATCAAATTCTAGAATGTAGAGAACATGTGACAATTATCATAACTTTATTGGTTGATATAGAAATTGTTCCATTTCTTTCGGCAAGCACAATTTAACCATTTCCCAATTTAGCTTTGGTTTGAAGTGATCTGTCAATAGAGGAAAAAATTGGAAGACATTTGGTCATTTGGCTGGTGCAACATCAATCTTTAGTAGCATGTTTGATTCTTTGGCAATGCGAAGAGTGCAAGAACTTATCTTCTCTGGAAGAACCTTCAACACTCCCTTTGTTGTTGAAAGTTTGTGGAAAATGTCTTATATTTTGCTTGAAAGCTCCTTCTCGTTGAGACCATTTACTCTTATGCATGAAGCTTGCTTGTTAGCTCTGTAGTTTTGAGAGCTTGCAAATCGCAAAATTTTGCAAATCTTGGCTTCAAACTTTTCAGGCATCAAAACCATAATTTTATCAACAACGTTTTGATCAGTAAAGGATGTCTGACCAAGAAGCCACATTTGATTCACAACGTCCCTTAATTTGCAAGAATAATCTGACATATTCATTTTCCTTCATCTGATCAATTCAAATTCTCTCATCAATGTGAGAAACCTAACAAAAAATTGACTCTATTATTGCCCTCAAGTTCACCTTGAATTTTGTTCCACACTTGTTTAGGTTTTTCCAAATTCATGATTTTGGTAAAAATATGGTCTGCTTGTCTTGAATGCAAGCAAGTGATGCTTTAATCTTCAGCTTTATCATGAGAATTAGTAAGATTTCCTCTCAATGGCTGTGGGTCAGCTTCAGAGATTATACTGTTCCATAAACCTTGAGACCTTAAAACAAATTTCATCTTACCCAAATTTGGTAGTTTTCACCATTAAACATTGGAATGATACTCGAAGAAGGTGAAGAAGATGAACCGTTGGAAAACATATTTGCAACAGAACTGCTTAGAAAATAAATCACCCAATACAGTATTTGCACTCAACCTTCTTTGTGTTTGGCACTCAATGAAAAATTTGCCTCAACCGCTAGGAAGTAAGCATCACTGTTAGAATTGTAAAATAAAAATATAGAAATAGTGGAACTTGCAAAAAAATAATGAGATTAAAAATAGAGGAAAATAATCATTCAAATTCATAAAAGGGAATGCCTATGTATAAGCTTGCAACCAATTTAAAATCCCTAAAATATCTAACCTACCATTAGATTTACTTGAAATTTAAACTAACTAACTAAAACAAATCATAAAATATAAAATTCTTCAAGAGTAATAAAATGATTACCTAAAACTGATTTAAATTTGAAAATTCATATAAAGGAAAATCTCATAATTCTAACAAAGGGATCGGTTGGACACATCCTCTTCCTAACGTTTTCTTAGATTTTGTTCTGTATGAATCTTATTGTCCTTTTCAATTTAATACCCATTAACAAGGTCACTTGCACCCTCAACCTCAATTACTTTGTTCTTTTTGTTAATAACTCTATTCTTGTCTAGGATTGGTGTAGCTAACGAAAAGTTAGAGGACACAAGTCTTTAATTGGTGATTACTTGTGTCTTTGTGGCTTCTCAAGCCTTTTTCACGTCAATGCATAGGTCACCCTAGTTTTAGTAAAATGTGTAACTCAAACTTGTAACTTGCAGTGATAGACCTTATTGTATTGCATATCTCCTTCTCTTGGGTTTGTATTAATCTGTATTTCTCAAACATGTATGATAGATTGAATTTATCAAATTTTGTTAGCTATATGCTCTGCATTTGTGGTTGAAAAGTCATTGAAATGTAGGTTTAATGGATGTTGTTATGGGCAAGAAAAGAGGGTTGGGTCATTTCCAACATCATGTGATGTTAAATCTTGGTTAAAATTAACTTGGTTTTATTTAGTAGTACTCAGGAGTATGATAGACATATACCCTATATTTTTGCACAATATTACAATCTTAGTCCTTGTCATGTTTGTTATGAATCTTTTTGGTCACATGCTTGTTTTGCATGATTTTTTTTCTTCATTTATTGTCACAATTAGTTTATAATATTTTTGAAGTGCATCATTGGCTTAATGCATGTAGTTTGTTTCAGCTTTGTGGGTAAACAGAGTTTGCCTACAGCTTTAGTTCTTACATTTAACTTGATTCATATGGTTCTTTGTATTGCTTTTGGTGTGTGATAGTCTTTCACTCTTTTGGATATCTCCTTACTTCACAGGTTCTACAGGAAGTATTAAATTGTTATTCAGTGCCAGAATATTTATTTGGCAAGGTTTGCGTCATTATTGATAAAGTGAGTGATGCATAATGTTGCCCTTTTAGTTTATTTTTCTAATTGTTGATGCTGTTGTTGCATTCTTGATCCTTATTTGTTCACGAGAAAAAAAAAATGATAAGAGATCATGGTAACATGGATTTGTTCTTGTGGCTTGTTCATGACAAACAAACATGTAGAGTGGAACCAAAAGGCTAAAACTAAGATAACATGCCATTAAATTTCTATGTAGTATAGCTAGCTCATGTTTATTGATAAATGATATGTCACTTCACCCAACATAACGCTAAAAGGTATTCAAAATTCAGTCCTAGTGCTGAAGATACTATATCTGTGTGTGAATTACAAAGTGAAGCAAATATTTATGTTAGGTGTATGAGAATAATTGCAAATAAATACAAGAGTATACAATTAACCTTAATTAGCATTATAAGACAATATAATCTGCCCAATTTACAATATTAGTATAATTAAAATTTATAATTAATTTGAGGACCTACAAATGAGTTGGTGAATATATCTTTTAACCGATTATTTGAATTGACAAAGCTAGTGGTGATGCCTTTCAATATGATTTCACCTGATTTTTAATTCATGTCTGTGTTTGTAATGATTGAAATTTCATATTCTGGTCCTTATGTCTTGTATAGTGTTGATAAAGGCGTGATCTTAATATGAAAGCAAATTGTTTTTAACAAAAAAGTTGTTAATTTTGTACAGATTGAGAAAATTCCAATTGACGAGATAAAGAAAGAGTTGAAAGCTGTTGGTCTATCACAAGAGGCTGTCCAGAAGCTATTGGATGTCCTTTCTGTGAAGTCATTGACAGAGTTAGAAGGTTAAAATCTTATATTTTGTAGTGAATAGTCTATTGTAGCTTTGTGCGAGTTGTATAATTTCCTATGTTATGGCTTGTAAATGATGAAAGGTTCGTTATTTTTCTTGGTCAACATCGTTACCTTTTTTTCTTATTTTGATGTTGATTGAAGCTTCATGTTCCCAGAATATGGTGAATGAGATTTTCAAAACATGGTTAGCTTGATACAGCCTTGTTAGAAATATAAGAAATGTGTAAAGATATTATCTTAGAATATTTTAGAGTATCTTAGATGATCTCTTAGACAATCTCCGATAGGATTTGCTCACAAGAGTTGTTTATGAATAAAACCATTATTTTAATGTGGTCTTATAAGTAATTCTCATTGATGATATTCTTTGTGCTTGTTCTTCTTTTATATTTTGATTTGTTTCCTTATTTAATTTAATTAGGATCTTTACAATTATAGGAATATTTGAGTACAATAAAAATTATTAGAATATGATTTATTGACATATCATATAATGTATTTATTTTCATAAACTTATTTTAAATGAACTCTGTTGTGTAATTCATATACATAGTTTTCAGCATCTCTAGCATCTATTTTGTTCTCTTTCAACAAGTCTCAAAATATTTGAGACATTTATCTTCTTTTTGGCATATAATTGACATAATTTATTTTCACGAGTTTGTCCTTGATTTTCTATCAATTATTTCTCTATTTATGTCTTGATTTGATATATGTTCAGAATCAGATTTGAATAAATTATGAATCATGATCAGATCAGAGGTGATATGCTATTTATTGCTTCCTGAATTTTCTCCTTGATTGTTGCAGAACGGTTTCCTCTTTGGGACTAACTCGATCCATTAAGCAGTGACTGAATAATTAAAAAATCATGAGAGAAATAAAATATTTCCTTCTTTCTTCTGGTATTTTTGCTTCTACATACTTGAAAGCTGTCAGTGGCACCATGAATTGGATGTATTGTCTATTAGTTTGTAAAATCAAGTAATACATACAACTTACAAGAAATATGAATTTTGTTGTATTCAGAGAGACTTGGGTGCAGTGGGGAAGCAGTTGCCGATCTTAAACAGCTATTCTCTCTTGCTGAAAAAAATGGTTTCTCGAAATGGCTTCAATTTGATGCGTCAGTTGTTCGAGGTCTTGCTTACTACACTGGCATTGTATTTGAGGTCTGAATTTCATGATTGATACTAAATATATGTTATAGTTTAATCAATTTAAATAATGAGTTAGGACCCTTTTGGACTAAAATCTTGCTTATGGATTACTTGTACTGCATAATTCTATACTTCTCTACTAGTTGGGCTGATTGATTCTATGACAACTGCACTGAAGGTTCATTCAGATATTCTTGGGGCTTGTGTTTGCAAGTTTAATTCCTTCATGCTTAATGGCACTAATAATTTATGATAATGGCTTGTGTAGTATAACATTTGTGATAGTTGACTTTGACAAATAAAGACTGAAGTGTGTTGTATTGATGGGAAGCGTACCAATTTGTGCAAAATAGTATTCAATGAGCAAGTGATCGTTTCCATAGGGACCCATATAATATTTGACATATAACAACATTCACTATGGTTATGTAAACTATGATTTGAATTGATTTCCAAGAATATAAGAAACAAAGTACCCTAAACCCTAAACAGAAAATTAACAAACAAAATGTATAATTAAGCTGTAGAGAAATTTTAACAAACATGTGTAGGGTAGCAAAACCCGAATTCAAGGATTGTAAGATGTTGCAGTTTAATTTCCCAAACTCTTTTCTAATGTAGTAAACCAGTTCTAATTAAGTTTAAACTTTATTTATTAGCATCAACACAAAATAGAGCTCAAAATACCTACCCTATTAGTGAGAGATTCCAATTTCCTTTGTTGAACTATTAATCCCCTGATTAGCGTACGGAGCAAATTTTAATAAAGCAACTTGCTTTAAGGACAAAGGGTGTTAAATAGATGACTAATGAGCTTTGCTCTACTCGTGGATACAACCCATGGGGTCTTCTTCACCAAGTCAAAATTCAAAACATTTTCCAACAACATTCAAACCATAAATCTTGTAAAGGAGATAAACCCAATACAAGCCTTAAGCATAGATGAAGGAGACTAATAAAGAGCTATGAATATTGATTAGTTTTTAGAGTAGATACATGAGTAAGAGTCCCAAACCCCAATAATGAAGGATTTAGCTACTCAACGAAAGAATGAAAATGGTGTAAAAATGAGAAAAATTGGTAGAACAGCATAAAAGATCCAAGGGGAGCTCTCAATTGTCACACTCTATCTAGAAAGGTTCTGTTCGGATCCAAAAATTAACAAAAAAAGAACAAGAAATAGGAGAAGACTCTCCTCCAAGGTTTCCCCTTCACAAAGAATTTCTCCTATTACAAAGAGCTAATGCTCAATTTACAAAAAAAAATATGAACTCCCTTCTCCTATCCTTCACACCTTATTTATATCTAAACAACACCTTATGCAACCTTTTGCAACTAACTAACTCATCAATATAACTCATTAATATGCTAACTATACACCCCACCTAAAAATCAACCTTGTCCTCAAGGTTGTATAGTAGAAACTTGATCCCATTGCTCATCCTCATTACCATGATCTTCATTTACCCTTCCTGTTTGCATGTGGTGTCTTATTTTTTTGCCATAGGAATGGGAATCAATGGCTATTGCATTCAAATTTAAGTCAGGTGGCTTGGGTGGTGATGGAAATGAGGGTGGATTTTGTATAACAGCCTTTCGACCTTCCTTCTGCATTAACTCCATTGGCAAGTTGTGATCCATAGAAATAATGAAATTTAATGTTAAAGAATCACCTAGCAAATTAAAATTCCCAAATTCTAATGTCATTGTTGTTCCCATCACCTTCACTATCAAATTTGGGTCCAACAATGATTCCTTATTCTTAATATGGAAATCTGAATTTGGAAAAAAAATAATGTTTGGTTGCATCTCCACCTTCAACTTTCTTTTTGATTAACTCAACAATTGGGTTGTCAAGAAACTGATTTTCACCATCCATAATCTTGAATCTTTATTCATGTAGCAACAACTTCCTTTGACATAATCTTTGCTTCTCTTGCTAAATTCTCTTCATTTTTTGCTTCATCTCCACTATCAAGGGTATGATACTTGATTACTGAGTCTTCTTCGTTACTTCTATTTTTTTATTTCAAGAATAGAAATGGGTCATCATCACTCTCAAAATTGCCACTCTTTGAATCAAATTCCCCTTTTTTGCTTTCAGCAAATGTGGGTAGTTCCATCATGCTTGGCCAAGAACTAATCTCTGTTGCAATGCATTTTGACCCGCTTCCCTTTATGCTATTTGTTTCTTGCTCAACCAAATGTGGATCACCCTCTAAATACACTTTCAAGAACACTGTAGAAGTCTCCATTATTTTGTTGCATGTTTTAATCTTGGTTTGCTCTTCTTGCTTTATGGTAGTCAGTCTTTCAAAGATGTGGCTACCATAGGTATCTTTGAATCTTTTTATCAAAGTTGTTGAAAAAGATTCCCAATCTAAATTCGAGTTATCATGATACAATAATAGAACCAATGCATTGCCACACCCTCCATGCTCATGAATGCATGTTACAGCTTCAAGAATCAATTTCATGTACCTCAAAGATTTTTCAGCCCTAGCAATCTAACCAATTGGATATGCCCCTACAAACGCTGGTAGCTTCCCCATGGACAAAATTTGTTTTCCTCCATTTCTAACAGAGGCTCTCCCTCAAAGATCCGGCAGGTCGGACCAATTTGGTAAGAACCAAGAATTAAACAAAAAAAGAATAATAAATAGGAGAAGACTCTCCTCCAAGGTTTCCCCTTCACAAAGGATTTCTCCTTTTACTAAGAGCTAATGCTCAATTTACAAAAAAAATATGAACTCTCTTCTTCTATCCTTCACACTATTTATATCTAAACAACACCTTATGCAACCTTATGCAACTAACTAATCAATATAACTCATTAATATGCTAACTATCTTACTAACTTCTCCTTCCCCTTATACACTAACAGGTTCTGTCAAAGCGTGCCTCAAAATTCCCTTTTTTTAGATTAACAATTCCTTTGTTGCAGTATAAGTCACATTAGCACTCCCATGCTCAGCCTCAGCTTTGCCATGCTTATCTTCAGGTTTCCCAAGCTCAGCCTCAGTCTGGCAACACCAAAGGCACCTTTCTTGACATTCTAAGGCTAAACCTCAAAATTCCCTAGCTCAAACTCTAAAGTTCCCAAGCTTAACCTCAAATTGACATTAATCAAGGAGGGAAATTTTGCTTTTTAGCATTCAACGAGCCTTCAAAATGGATCTAGTGCAATCTTCCAAAGGTTCATTCAATTTCTCAATTCTTCTTTTTCTACAATGAAACATCACAATCTAATAAAAGTTCTAAAGGCTTAAAACAATAAACCTACTCCCATTTAATAACTAGATTAGCATAAAAATGATTAAAATGACAATCTAAGTAAAGAAAGTGTAAGATAAATGGCAAGACATGTAGGAATATGAAACATTTATCATAGTTCTAGATGAAAACCGTTATCTTGATTTAATGCAATTTTTCATTTACTTGTGATTTTAAAATAATATTTGGTGATAAACTTATTCCATGATCTGCGAGAGGATAAAATTAATACAAGAAATCGTATCTTTCCACTAAATTTTTTGCTGTTAATGAATCCTTTTATATTAAAAAAAGAAAATGAAAAGAATATATATTCTGTAGGTAACTTAATGAATCCTTTTATATTAAAAAAAGAAAATGAAAAGAATATATACTCTGTAGGTAACTGTCATGTTTTACAGAGAGAATATATAGGAGTTTTACTAGCTACAACCAAGTTATATTCTTATGATGCTTCCATTGCTGTTAATATGTTGCAATTGTATATATTGAGTGTTGTACGTCATTCCTTCAAGTGATTAAATTTCTTCAGTAGGGTTTTGACCGAGAAGGAAAGCTGCGAGCTATTTGTGGTGGTGGTCGATATGATCATTTATTCTCAACTTTTGGTGCTGATGACATTGCTGCTTGTGGTTTTGGATTCGGTGATGCTGTCATAGTGGAAGTAAGTCTATAGCTTCAGTAGCAGTAGCAAGAGAAATTGGATGTCACAATGTTGTGTATGTTAAACGATTTTGTGTATTTTCATAAATTCTTTCTGCCTTAATCTATTACATCTCCTCAAGTTTAGCACTAGGTAGTAGTTACAGTGAAGCAGAATATGAAAAACTATTGAATACAATAGAGTTGCTGCTTATCTATACAAAGAGTTTATTAGAAATCTTGTCTCTTGATTCAATAAGTTTCAAAAGCTTTCAGAGCAGGACTAATCTGCCTCTATATTGTATATATTGGTGTAGTTTTTTCAAGGAGGGCCGTTCATGAGAAACTTTGGTGAGTTGGCTTGGTTAGAATTAAACTATGGGTCCATGCATTTTCAGCTCCTGCGCAATAGAATTTTCTTTTGGACTTTTTATGGTGTTTGGGAGTGAAAAGAAGCTTCATAGTTGTTGAAATATTTGTTGTGTAGGATAATAGTTTGGTCTGTTCCTTGTCTTAGTTTTAGATTTAGCTTATCTTGTATATAGCTCATTGTGTACCTCTTTTACAGCATGAATAAATAAGAAAACAGGTATGTTATCATATCTTTTCATTGATATCAAGGTGGTTTCAGAGCCTACGACCAAATTAAATATTTGTAAAATCCTAGTTGTTTTTCTACTGTCCAAATTTGACTGCCGAAGAAGTCTCAAACACCATCCAACAAATTCAATGGTACCATAGCCTGTTCTCGGTGTGTCGCTGCCAATTTACCCTGTTATGTGCCACCACACACCCAGTTTTGGGATCATTGGTGTGCGAAGCCCACATGCCACTATCTGCATTTCCATTTTCCTAGTTGCCTTTCAAAAATAGTCCATTGATCTTTTCTGTTCTTTCTGTGACCCTATTTAGTTATTGGGTCTTCCTACTTCAAAGGTTTGTACCTTCATTTGCCTTGCCTTCTTTGATGTCCAGTCCATTGGTTTCTTCTTTATCTTGTTTTGACCTTGTTTAGTCAACTGATTTCCTTGTTTTAAGTGCCTCGTGCATTGATTAGCATTTGTTTGGTCTTTATTTGCTTCACTATAACAAGGAAATCTTTGGCGCGCTTGAGGTTTAGTGCGGAGATGTAAAGGCCAATGATACTCACATTTAACATCAATAGTCCATCTTGAACTTTGATCCTGCTATTTAGCAATGTCTTTAGTAAAGGTTATTGTTGAGAATCAAAATAATATATTTGTTTATTAGTATTACTATATTCATGTAATGTTTATTTTACAGAAAACAAAATGACTATTGCGACCGTGGACCATCTATTAAAGTGGTCCATGGTTAACTATGATTATTAGCTGTCATATTAATCTTGTTATAATTGGTGCTTTACACCGGTTCCTTCACCTCCTTCCCGACAACTTCCACTTACTGTTCACTGATGATGGCAGTGGTGGCGATTTACTATTTTCTTTTATTTTCCTTGCCATCTGCACACTCTCCAGTCTCCTCCATCTTCTTGGTGCTGATGGCCCCATCAACAAGTTTGACATTGTGGAGGAAACCCAACACCCATAGATTCTTCTTCCGTCAAATTCTTGACTGAAGAACGTCCTCGTGGAAGTGAACGTCCTTGTGGAAGTGCCACCTGCATAGGTGGTCTCACTTAACTAATAAATTCTGATTTAGCAACTAATACCTCTACAGAGAAAAACACAATCTTCATTAAAACAGGACCAGACCAACACAAATTTAATTCAAAATTTAAAGAAATAAAAGAAAAGGGACTACTTGAAGTCAAGAACATTCTCGACAACACTCCCACAGAGACACCATTAATGATCTCACTGCACCACTGCTAATTATCTATTTTGAAGATCTTAGTGCAATTCCATTACCGTACATCAAAGCATATCCATAAACAAAAAAAAATCAAAATCGACACAACATTTCAAGAGTTATTCACAAAGGTTTTATACAAAGGAAGGTGGCTTCACTAAGGTTCCATGCCGAACTCTGATTCACATCATCACAAGGAAGTTTGATTTGGAGGAAGGTTACTTTTAATGTCAGATTTTGAGGTTAAGGGTTCAGTAGGTTTGTCGCCGTTTGCGACTAAACCAATTATGGTGTAGGAGACCGATACCTGATAGGAATTGAAATTGGAGATGGGATTCTAGTGTGAGAGATATATGATACCGTGAAAAGTAGACCAATCCTACTATGCATAAATATGGTGCGCGGTAGACCACCCCACAAGAGTGGTTCACGGTACATTAGTCAAATAAAATGTCTTCTATTCATGCGTAATTAATCTAACGAGTCTATATAAACTCATCTGTGTGTATTCAGACTCACAGTATTCAATCCATAGTTTTTTGTCTGTTTTTTTGTAACAGTGTCTCAAAATGAAGGGTATTTTCTTGTGAATCTCTAACATGATAATTATGCTCCACAACACTTTTGCTTAGGCTCATGTTTCTTCTCCTTTGTCAATTGTGCTCAATGTCTGTCTTTTTTGCAACTGTTGCTCGTATAGAAGGGAATGTCTATTTTGTAAATCTCTATTATGATAACTATGCTCCAAACACTTTTGGTTAGACTAGTGTTTCTCCAACTTTGTCAATTGTGCTTGATGTCTGTATTTTTGAAACAGTTGCTCAAAGAGAAGGGTATGTTTCCAGAGCTTAATTTGCACATAGATAACATTGTTTGCGCATTGGATGAAGATCTTCAAGGATGTGCTGCTATGGTTGCAAACATTCTCCGAGAAAAAGGGCAGAGTGTTGAGTTGGTTTTGGAAAGCAAACCACTAAAATGGTATAATTCTTATTCATTATTTTTGTTCCTTTTATTGAAGCATACTTGAGTTTTTAAGTCTTCTGATATGATTTATAAATCATATTTTTTATTCTCTTCTAGGGTTTTTAAACGAGCATCCCGAGTAAATGCTGAGCGGCTTGTATTAGTGGGGAATTCAGAATGGCAAAGAGGTGTGGTTGGTGTCAAAATTCTTTCTACTGCTGAACAGTACGAGGTTAAACTTGATGATTTGAAGTAAATCAGTTTTTTTTTTTTTTTTTTTTGTGGTTTATGTATTTTCTCTTTACTATTGGTGTTTGATTCACCTTTATTTTTTTTACATAGTCCTTGACAATTTGTTTTGTATGTGTACATACTCACCTGCGTCCATATATGCATCTGTGATTATTCATATACCAAAATTGTCCATTTTTTTAATACGGAAAGAATGTTATTGTATCACTATGCAAGTCGCAGACCTAACTAGGTTAGCTCTACAACTTGTATCAATCATATGCAAAACTGCCAGTTCTGTTTACATTATTTATTCAATTAGGTTGTTCACACCTACACTCTCTGCTCCCCTCCCCCCATTTCTAATCCGTGTTACAAGGCCATGTTGTAGATTGTTGAAAAGGAAAATAAACAGAAAACATATTTGTGATATCCGTGTGCTGAGATACACAGCGGTTACTTTTATTACATAGACTCATAATAATAAGTAAATACAATTGATTATTGGAGATTTCACTCCTATAAATCAGATATGAGAAGTGAGAGAAATAGCAAGAGTGATAACCTGTGATTTTCCTCTTAGACAGTGGTGAAACTTCGAGGAGTCCAATGATTTGATGGATATTTCATAGTTTTGTTAGCTTTTTATATAATATTTTGTTGTGTTTAACACATGCCTTGATCCTCTGCTGATTGTGGAACTATAGTTTGTTTTTCGCAAAAGATAAAGCCTAACAATGTGTTCCCTTGTATTTGTTGACAAATGTGATACTTGTAAAGTTTCAATGATAATGAGAAGATTAATTTAAGCTGCATATGATGGACACACTTTTTGGTTCTGCACGTTATGCATGAGCGAAAAGGACTTCTGATACCATATGGATTGGTTCTACCCACTAAGTGGGAAGTTGTAGTTGCTCTCACCTCCAGTTCCATATGCTTTATGGATAGCACTAGTCAACTAGTTTTGCAAACAGAGTAACATACTAACAATTTTTCCCACTTGTCCAAATCCCATTGTAAATAAAAAAGCCCCCCATGCAACAACAGATAGTTGAAGAAATGATCGTTTCCAGATAGCTGGTTATAGATTGCACAGTGCAGCATATACATTCCTACGAGTGGATTCTTATGATTGAAGTAGTTTAAAATATGCATTGGATGAATTAATAGGGATTAATAGTCAAATATTGTAACTGTGGTTGATCAGCACGAAAATATATTATTTTGATTTTTTACTCCTGATTGTAGCTCGTAGAGACTAAAAAGAATAAAGTAATGTATGGGAAGTCAAAAACATTTAAAACTGTATATTAAGGACCTTGGTATTTTTTTAATATAGTGATTAGAAGAGAGTTTTTGATACTATATGGTAATTAAACATACAAAATTAACTTCGTTTTGGAACAAGAGTAAAAATAAATTTAAATCGAAGATTATTATGAATTTATGATTTTAATAATAGGTTATTTATATCAACATTTATTGTATATATGAATTACGATAAATTATGAGGATAACAAACAAGAGGTGATTTTAAAAGTGATAAAAGTTTATTTTAAATACCGATCAAGGAATTATATGATTACTTTAAAGTTATATCACTGAATTGCAAAATACTAGTGGCAAGTGTCGTGGATGAGATTAGAAGTTTAAGATTTGATAAATAATCTAGGTAACAACCACCATAATAACTGTATCTCTCAATCTGAAGTATATTTTATCTTTTGCCATTTCTGAGGTATATATATATATAGGAAGGAAAAGTTGAAAAGTAAGTTTAGATTTAAAATTTGAAATTATCATTTACAACTGGCGATTAAAAGCCAAAACAGAGTAGTGGGTGAATTTAGTCATAAATCAAGAGTCTATTAGATGAGGAGGCATGGAATTTGGGAAGACAACTTAAAAAGTTGAGTTTAATTTTTGTGTAAAAGGTTTATATTATTGATACAAATAAAACCATCTTAAGTATGATTCTAAAATAGTTATTATAAAAGTTGTAGTATTTTAAAATAATGATTAAAAACATATCTACGTTGCATCGGTAACTAAATGCCCTATAAAACGACAATATAGATTATAGATTTGTATAGTGTAAAGAAATAACGGACCCAGTTTCACACTCTCGACTCAACTCAACTCAACTTGATGCTGAAGTAGCTGCAGTGAAGGATGGGGAGGGATGTTTCAGAAGCTGAAGGCATCATCAATTTACTTTTTTAGCATGGTATTGTTAGCATTTTATAAAATCTGTGCTGATGCTATTAATAGATGCACCAAGTCCACAAGCGAATGAATTTCAATAATGATGGTGGAAAGAAAGGAATGGCTTTGTCTTTGACCCAATCCTCGCCCACTGCTCTTTAGCTGTTGCATTTGTTTTCACTCTAGTTTTTGGCTTTTACCAGGTATGGCTAGGCAAAATTTATGCCAAAGCAAGGAAAAAAGATGAGAGGAATGATACTCATGCATTACCATTAATAAAATCTATAATATTTTTTCAATTTCTCCAACCATGATTCCAAATCATATTTTTACTGAATCTCCCCATTCACTCTTCAATATTCCTGAAATAAAGCCTTCAATTAAGATTGTTTTTCTAACAAGCCAACTTAATGTTTCAATTAAATTGGTTTAAATGAATAATACAAGCTTAAACTTTAAGTTGGTTTAGCTTTACTCATGTGACTTGGTTAAATTGAATAAATATGTAAAAGTCAGCAATTATGTTTAGTCTAACCTTTAATATACAATTTATTTTACATTATGAATTTTGGGTCCTCATATTTTGAATAAGAACTTTTTAAGAAATATTTTGTAATTTCTTTTTATCTAAGTTGAAACTGGGCTTAATGTCCCTCACAAAGCCTCCCAACGAGTTATTTACGAAATCTTGGAAGTAGATATTCTACAATGAATGCTTTGATTGGGGTGATAACAAGTTGTCTACGTTGTTGGCCGAATGGAACAAATAATATCATGAATATCAAACTATATCAGTCACAGCATGTGTTCTTGTCCCAAAATTTGTCGTGGAGTAAAATGCTTACCCAACTCACTATCATGAGTCTCTCCAACGTACCATGGAATATGTCATCCTCACCAAGCCATTTTCAAACCAACCCCATATGTTGTTTCTCACATTTCCTTACTTTTTAGTTTTAACAAATTCAAGGGACCAAGGTTTGGTCCCCATTACGGATAGCAAGCACTTGAGCACCATGCACACTCCTCTTTTGTGTCATTTTCCTATGCCGTACTTGCTTTCTACGCCACGCCTGTCCACAAACTCATCCCACATTTAGATCCTTCTCCGATTCTCACCTGCTGTCTACTTCAATGCCATGCACGTTTAAGCCACCATCATGTGATCTTTACTCAATAATGTTTGTCCCCCTTCGTTTGCACTTGCCATCCCATTGGGATCATAACCAATGAATATTTAGAATTTCAATGAAAGGGATCGTGCATCATGTTGAGTGCCTGATTGTGATGTGTCTCAAATGGTCAAGAAGCTTTACTGCTACCAGACTCATGGCCACCGCCACTACTGTGCCATCAGTGTTGGAAAGTGATATAGAATTTTAATAGGACCGTTTACTGTCATCACCAAACACTTTTTTTTTAAGTACTTGTTGAGAGTCCATTTTGCACTCATAGCAAATAGTTGATTAGCACTTTAATAGTTAAATCATTAAGGAGGCGTATGTATGTATTACCAAATAAAGAGTGAGTTGCACATCAAGATAGCATTGTGGAATCTTTGGAGCGAAAGTGGGCCTTCAATAAATTAAAAAGGATGAGCATAAATTCATCCATTTCAATCTTGTTCCTGTAATTTGTCTTTGTCATTTCCTTAGTAACATTCATAAAGACGAGAAGATCCATTCTTGAATTGGAAGGAAAAGAGGGGGTAGGGATGATACACAAACTATACTATGGTCAAAACAAAAATGCCAATAATTATAATGCGTATATGGCTAATAATCCTGTAGCTGGTTATTTCATTTGAATGGCTAGCTAGCCTCTCTTTCCTCATCTTTTGGTCTTGTTGAAGAACTTGAACCTGAGGCCATTCCAATGACTTGGTTGTGTGTGAACCTTTGTAACTGAATCATGCGTGCATAAATCCCATCCGGCTGATTTTTCAACAACTGTGAATGGGAGCCTTGCTCAGCTACTTTCCCATCATCAATCACAGCAATCAGATTGGCATTCCTAATAGTTGATAGCCTGTGTGCAACAATGATAGTTGTTTTCCCCGAGGAGGCCCGATCTAGAGCCTCCTGAACTGACCTCTCAGATTCAACATCAAGTGCACTTGTGGCCTCATCAAGAAGCATAAGTTCAGCCTTCCTCACAAAAGCCCGAGCAACTGCTATTCTTTGCTTTTGTCCCCCGGACAGCTGAACACCTCTCTCCCCAACAAATGTCTTGTATCCATCTGGCAAAGCAGATATGAACTTGTGTGCATTGGCAAGAGTTGCAGCTTCAATTATCTCAGCTTCAGTGGCTGACTCATGCCCATAAGCAATGTTTTCATAAATAGTAGTAGCAAACAAGCATGGCTCCTGAGGTACCACAGAAATATGCCTTCTTAAGGACTTGAGATTGTATTTCCTGATGTCCTTGCCATCAATCATGACCCGACCAGATGTTGGATCATAGAATCTCTGTATAAGTGCAATAACTGAGCTCTTACCACAGCCACTAGGTCCTACAAGGGCAAGAGTTTTACCAGCCCTTGCACGAAGACTGAGGTCACGAAAAACTGGCATATCAGGACGAGTTGGATAAAAGAAATCTACATGCTTAAGTTCAACTTCACCACGGAGACGATCAGGAACAGGAGTGGCATCTTGATCATCAGGCTCAATTTCAGTTCTTCGGTCAAGGAGTTCGAAGACTGACCTCATGGCTCGGCCTCCTTTGATAAAGTCAGGAGCCAGTGTTAAAGTTTCAGCAGCGCCATTTGCGGAAACCATTAGGACCATAAAAACTCGGATTGTTTTGGAGAAGTCA